ACAGGGCCCCCGCGCCGGCCCCCGCGGGCCCCGGACTCCAGAGCCGCAGCAGCCGCCCCGCCCACGAGAGACATGACTTCCAAGCCGCATTCCGACTGGATTCCCTACAGGTACGCGGGCGCCGGCCCCCACCTTCTCTTCCATTCGGGGGCTCGTGCCCAGCCCACCAACCTCTAACGCGGAGAGCGTGGGGCAGGGTCGAGGGCGCCGGGCGGGGTCTCCCACTACCCTGAACTCGGGGCGCAGGGCTGGCGGGGCACACCGGGCCGGGGCGCAGGGCACCGGTACCCTCCGCATCTATTCCAACACTGGGGGCTCGAGTTGGAAGCCTGGACCTTCCTACGCCAACTTTGGGTGGCCCGGCGGACTGAACCCACCTGCCTTGCTTCACCCCTTATCCGCCGGGGTTGCTAGAAGGGGCCAGTGCTCTGGGCCTGTGTGGGCCTTGTCGGTCCGGCAGCGCCATGTGGCTGGGCGATTGGGAAGGGAGCGCACACTGCTATGAGCCCCCTCCTAAGCCCAGCACACAGGTCACAGGCCAGGATAGCTGTGCGCACACACCATACTTCTGCAGGTATGCACCCACAGGATGTGGGCACATTTGGCTGAAGACAGTCCTGCTGGTCGATTCATACACTCAAAGCGTGAATTCCTGGAGACAGTTATTCTGAACCAAGAATATCTCTACACACACACACACACACACACACACACTCATGCACTGATTGTTGGGCTCACATAGGTGCACTCCTGCATATCTGTGCACAGGCACATTCTGTATTTGGAAAATATCTGACATCTGCTGCCCACTCACAAGTACTACTCATCTTTCAGAGATTCAGAAATCTACTTGCTAACAGGTCTATACCGGGACGCACACCAACTCCCAATACATAGAACCACCTTTGCATGCATAAGAGCACTTAAGAACCCAGGCACACTAAGGGAAGCATGGCCACGCTGTTCCCAGACACTGTGGTCTGTCCCAAGGACAACTGGGCTTTCCCACCTGTGTGAAGGTCGGGGCTGGGGAGGGATCTCTGGGGCTTCACACAGGTGTAGGCCTTTCCCCATCCACTACTCCATTCTCTCCATTACCACTGGAAAGGAGCTTATCACCATGGCAGCACCAGATCCTTGGCCACCCATTGGCTCCTTGGTTGCCAGGGGCTACGGGGCTGTCTCTAGGCCTCCTGGAGAGGCCTGTGAGTGAAAAGGGTCCTGGACTGCTAAGGTCCCGTATGTTATTGCCGGCCCAGGTGCACATGCCTGTTAGTGGTAGGAACAGACCCTCAGGACCTTCCTGCCTTATAACACAGCCTGCTCTCGGGAAGGGACCTGATTCCAGTCGCTGATAGAAAATAATTCTGACAGAGCTCTTCCATGAGTCTGTCCAGACAGCATCCGAAATGGAAACCAGCTGAAACCGCCTGAGGCTTGTTAAAAGCAGATCCTTCTGCAAACAAGCACCTGTCACTGGCCTGGGGATTCAGGATTTCTCTTGAGAATTGTTGTCTCTAATCTCAGGTCCTTTGGGGGCTTCAGGGCTTCCCAGGTTGGAATTTGTGGGTGCCCCTTCTGCCAACACATACACGTGCACACATGAGTCACCCCAAGGGTTTCCTGCAGACATATGCAGTCACACCTCAGAGTCCCACATGGACCAGGGAGATGATTTCCATCAGGGGGCTGGGGCTGTGCTGACTCAGAAGAGCTGCCACCTCACACAGGGCATCCAGGCTGGGGGCATGGTAGTTTCTGGAGCATCCTGGCTTTCTTGACACATGTGGCTGGAGGACTTTGTAGAAGACAGTGCAGCCCCACAAACTACCATTAACCTTTTCTAGCCACCCAGCAGAGGTGCCTGGGTAGTGCCTGTGGGCTGAGTGGCCTCTTGCGCTGTGGAAGTACCTGTATGGGGATGCAGGTGGCAGGGTGGGGGCCACAAACTAACTTAAAAGGGAAGGAAGGGCCAGCACTTGTGGCTGTGGATATAATGGCATGTTTAGGATCCAGCAGACTGGGGGCTAGGTCAGGTCATAGTTCAAGGAAGCCTCTCCCAGGAGCCAAGGGCCAACAAAGCTTGTAGGGTGCACAGGTCTTAGAGAGATCTGCCTCAAACTGGGGAGGCTTAAGCCTGCCTCTGGGAAAGGAGGCCCCAGGGAGGTGGGGTTGTCTCTGGGAAATGGCTCTGTCCTCCAGTGAGTGTCCAAGGCACTAGCATCCTTAGGAGTGATTTGGCACTTACCCCAGCCCAGGCCCAACCTTCCCATCCCCTCATTCCTTCTTGGGCCCACACACTCCACGTGGAGCACAGAATCCTGCCACCCTGGACACCTAGCACTGAGGAGCAGCTCGGCACCCTTGTGGCCCTGCCCTGCTTGCTGTCCCATTACTCCGTCACGCCTGCCTATTTGCTGTGTGGCAGGAAGGGTAGGTGTCTAGCTGGGGGCAGTCTGTACTCAGAAGCTGCCAGAATCTCTCCTGCCTTGCTGAGGTCTTTCTGAGCCTGCACTGAGTCTGGGAAAGCACTGGACTTGGCGTGTAGATTTCCAGAATGGGGAGACCTGGGCTGAGAGGAGGAGATGCAGATTTCCTCTTGTGTTAACTGGGCTGCTGATTGCAGTCAAAGCCACATGCCTGTCTGATTACAGAGAAAACTGGGGCAGAAGACAGGCAAGGCAGTTTACTTGCAGATGCGGGGGATGGGCACGTGTACATGTGCTCTGGTGTGAAGTTTCCCTAATGTCACAGCATGTCAGAATGGACTGTGTCATTTGGTTTGGGGGAGAGAGCTCGGTCAATTTCTTGTTAGCTCTCTTGGTGGGGGGGTTTCCTCCCTCTGTGATGGTTGCACCTGCATCCCTAGGCTTGGCTCATTTTCTTTGAAGCAGTGACAGTTGGTGATAATCTTCTTAAGGGTAATTGTGGCTCAGTTCATAATGATCATGGATTAATCTCACATTCTGATTCAGAAGGGAGCCATTTAGTTTATAAAGTTTAACAACTGGAATAATTTTTTGCCCTTTTTTTTCTATTCTAATAATTCCCACATCTGCTTATTTTCTCTTCACCTGTGTTCTTGAATATTAAATGCCCCTAGTTCAGGACTTCACAACCTTTTGTGAGTTGTAGGTGGAGGACTGAGAGTCGGGAAGGACCGTCCTGGGTGGGAGTGATGGCTGACCCTGTCCTCGGTGCTCTGTCTGCCTGGTCCTGTGGCCATTGCCTGGTGCCTCCCTCCCCAGGCTTTGAACTCCTGGAGAGCAAGGACCACATCTGGTTCTTGGCTGTGTGCCTAGCACGACCCACACAGGCAAGATGCACATTACTTTGAATCAAAGTGGCATCCCCAGGTAGCTTTTTGGACTTGCTGGCTTTCCTGGCCCCACCCCAGGTTCTCAGCACACCTGAGGGGTGCAGTACTCTCCCCTCACAATAGGGCTTCCTGGAGTGCTGCTGGAAGAGCACAGCTCTAGTTCAGAGAATGAGAACCTCAGGCTGGAAGGGCCCTCACAGGCCGCCCAGTCCTCTGTGAATGCTCCCTGCAGCATCCCTGCGAACAGCCTTCCATCAGATGGCTGCAGTCATTAGAAAGTTCTTTCTTGGGGTGAGCCTAAGCATGTCTCTGGGTTTCCCCTCCTCTTGGCCCTTGTTAGGATCCTCCCACCACATCCTCACTCCGCTTTCTGGGGAGCAGAGTGACTACTGATTAAGCAAGACTCCCGACTCCTTCAGTTCTGCCTCTGGGGGGAGTCTCAGAGGGGCCCCAGACCTTATGGCCCACTGCTTCACCTCTGGCAGCAGGGAGGAGGAGCAGAGCCTCTACTCCTAGGTCCACGGAGAAGCTCTCTCCACTCCCACCCCAACCCCCTTGGGAAGTCTTCTTGCCTGGGGTGGAAGGAGCAGTAAACACAAGGTTGATAGAGATGGTTGAGGGAGCAGGGGCCCTGCGGATGCCCTCAGGTTGGCCTCTGCCCTCCTCCAGTGAGGGTCTGGGAGCTGCACGCAGTGTCCTGGGTGTGGCCTGTCAAGCATCCCGCAGAGTGAGGCTGTTATTTCCTCACTCTGGACCCCTGCTCCCGGTGCTGCCCTTGAGCGCTCGCCGTCCCGTGGGATGGTTTTGACTCACTGACCAGTCACCTCAAGGCCTCTATAAACAGACCCCAAAGTCTTTCATCAGGCTGATGTCAGCCTTATCGCCTCCATTCTGCCTTGTGGGGAAGACCTGGTTTGGGGACCCACATGTAAGACTTGACCTTCTCCTCTTAGGTTTCTGCTTGTTACGCTCTTCTCTAGCTTTCCTGGGTCTTCTGAGTGCATACTGCCTTGGTGAACACTAGTATCTCTTCCACTCCGTACACCCATAAGTCTGCTGAGAGGCCTGCCTCATCTTCAGGTCATCGATAAACATACTAACCAAGAGAAGTGTGGTGCTGGAAACCTTCTTTGACTGTGGCATCACCCCTTGTTGCAGTTGCAAACACCTTTGAATGATTGTCTAATTGGACTAGCGTGCCACTGACATTGCTTCATCTTGCCCACAAGTTATCGTCGCTGGTGCCTGTGATTCCGTGTGGGAGCCTGGCTGTACTGCCCTCCCGTTTTTTCCTGATAGGGCCTGAGGACATGTGCCCTGGCTTGCTGGTGAACTTGGGCTTGCTCTTAGTGATCACCTGTCTTCTAGCCATTCAAACCACCCCTCTGGTTATTCAGTTAACCTCCTCCACAGTCTTACCTGGGGCCTACGTTAGACTCACTGATCTGCAGACTATAATTTCTTCCCCCATCTGAACATAAGGCTGCATTTGCATACTTCCAGCCTTGTAGCAGCTCCCTAATTTCTTTTTTGTTCTTTAGAGATCACCAGCTGTGGCTCATGGTCCCCATTTGCATGGCTGAGCATTAGAATCACCTCTGTCACTTGCTTTAAAAGAGAGAGTGAGGTGGGGCATTGATTCTGGGGCAACCTCCCCAGCAGTTCTGAATTACCAAGTCAGGGCTGAGTGCCCCTAGTAGTTTTAATGCACTTGCTAAGTTTGGGAGCCAGTGGCTGGAAGGCTGGAACTCTTGTGAGCAGCATGGTCCTCTCCCTTCTGGAGCTGCACCCACCCCCCTCCTGCCCTGTTCCCACCCACACTGTGTGTTCCCACCCCCACTGTGTGTTCATGTTGTTCCAAGCAGCCACTAGGCAACAGAGGCCACAGATCTGGATGTCCCAGGGGGTCTGACGTTAAGCACAGGGATTGCAGGCAGGCACCCTGGCTGGTCTTTTCTCTCCTGACAGCCCAGTTCCCTGATTTCCTGGGTCCAGCAGGGGCAGCTGCCACTGTGACTGAGGAGAAAGCATGAGGGCAGGAAGGAGGAGGGCGAAGCAGCATGGAGTGTGGTCTGTCCCTAGGTTGGCCTGGTCCCCAGGCCTCTGGTCAGCTCTGATGGATTAGCTGGAGCATGTTGGGTGGGATCTAAGAAGAAGGTGGGGGAACCAGCTTCCTAGATATGTTGGTCTGGCTCTAGATATGGCTCTTCCTGCCCATGGGAGAAGTGCCCTGCCCTCATTTGTCGTCAAGCATGGTTCACTCTTCAGATATCTGTCGGGTGCCTCAGGGGAAGCAAGGGAATGTGGAGGGGCTGACTCCCTGGGAGGTGAAGGGGCCACCTCGATGACCCTGGGCAGAGTGCATGGATTGGTGGACACAGCAGACCAGGCTTCTCTGACCCTTATGAGCCAGTGGCTAGTGCTTTCCTGGGCCTCCCTGGTCTGGCCCTCAGCAGCAGGCGACCATAATGAAGCAGCCGCCAGGGTCAGCTGGAAGACCCATCCGTCAGTGCCCTGTCTCCTGGCGGGGCTGCAGCTGGCAGCCAGGGCTTGGCAGTGATTCCATAATTGGAGCCCAAGTCATTAAAAAGCCATTACTGTTCTCCTCTTGTGGTTATCGCTTCGTGCTGCCTAGAACAGTGCCCATCAGAAAGAGGCAGGCCAGGGAGTGTGGGTGAGAGGGAAGATGCCTGGGGAAGGTGCTGTGGTGGGGGATGAGGAGGCAGGGCTGGCTGCTGGGGAGGAGGGCAGAGGAGCTTCAGTTCTGCTCTCCCTGGGGACAGCCGTCATTGTTGTCCCAACATGCTGCTGTTTGCTGGGAGTCTCTGTTATCCACCAGGGACAGATGTTGTGCTGCGGATACATTGTTAGGCAGAAACACCCACCCAGTGTGAGCTTGTCCCTGCTGGGGGATTGTGGCCCCTCAGACCTTTGCAGCTCTCTTAGAAACACCAGGAGCCTGCTTTCCTCCATGTGCTGCTGCCCACCTCCTCATTTAGGTGGGTTTACGTCAGCCCTCCTGGATGGGTCTTGCCCAGCCAACCACATTCTTATCCACCAGGCACATGTTGCTTCTCCCCAGCACCGCCCCAGCCACGCATGCTCTTTTCCTCCAGCTGCTCCAACATGCCCAGTGGTGAGTGAGGTGGTGGGCGGCTCTCTAGGCACTTCCAGGGCATCTGAGTTTCTGGAATCTCTTCAGAAGCTTAGCCTTGTATTCATCCATCTTCCTCTGAAAGCCAGTGATTAGTCTATTCTACCTGTAGTCTTACCTGGGAACCAGTGTTCCTAAAGCCTGCGGCTCTTGGTCATTGGGAGAGGAAGTAATGTCTTCATGGAAAGCAGCCTCCTCCCCAGGGCGTAGCTGTGTGGGAAGTCCATGGCAGTGGGACAGTGGCCTGTGGCGGGAAGAGGCCCCACTGCATGGATAAGGACATCAGGGGGGTGCTGGGCAGTGAGGCCACCATAGCTGGAACCACCTTTTGTCCGTTGAGCAGCCACTGTGACCCAGCAGTTCTGGAGGTGGCTTTGCTAATGTGCGCTTACCTCTCAGCTGGATGTCCCCTTTTCTGAATGACCCTAGGTATTAATGTCAGCACCGTGGAAGTCATCTTCTTTGTCCTGCTCAGCCAAGCCCAGTGCCAGGGATGACCCAGATGACTGCCCAGCCCTGCCCTGTGAAAGTGCGAGTGGCTTGCGTCATCCCAGCAAGCCATGAAATGGCCTCTCCTGCTGGCAGGAAGGGGAGCCAGCACCGTCTTGTGGAGGTGACACGGGCTCCTGTGACCAGGCACTAGCACGTGACTGAGATTACAGGCTGCTCCGTGCATGCCCAGGCACAGAGCTTGGCAAGCAGAGCACAGTAGGATTTCAGGCCCCGTTGCTCCTGTCAGCCGGGTGCCACACAGAGCCCAGGCTGCGGTTTTCATCCATGTCCTGGAAATCATGAGTGAGTACGCACTGCTCGTGCAGCAGACCGCGGAGGACACTGGTGTTTGCGGACTGATCCTTGAAGTCTTTGTGAGCAGATGCTCTGCCCCCGCGTTATTCAGTCGGGCCATTGGCTTAAGGTGGAGAGACAGGTGGAAGAGTTGTAGCCCCTGGACCTGGCGGGGCCCTGGCTCTTGCTCAGTCTAGTCCCTCCACCCTTCCTTTAGAACTACCACTGCCACCCTCCGGCCTGTGGTGCATGCCTTCTGTGATGAGACACTCACTGTCCCAGCCAGCTTGAATTGTTAGGAGCTGGTTTCCTGTCCTCTGGTCCTGGTCATGCCCTCAGGGAGTCCCACGTGCAGCTGTGCGCTCTTAGGCAGGTGGGCTGCTTTAGGTAAACTGAGGCCTTGACTCAGAAGCTTGTCTGTTGAGTAGTGTTTTCTCCTGTGCCCTGGCAGCTGAGGGTTCAGGGAATGAGGCTGTTCTGTGCATGCCTCCAGATCACAATTGGGGCTCCTCTTGAATGCAGAGCAGCCCATGGGTATCAGGAAAGGCCTTCCCAGATGTCAAGTAGGTAAGACAGCTGCCAGTTAAAAATATGCAGAGTTCTTATAGGTTGTGGCCAGGGAGGCAGGTGGGGAAGCCAGAGGTGGGTGGTGGGCTGTTTGCAGTCCACTTTAATACAAGGCACAAGTCGTTTGGATGAGCTGAAGGGACATTTCGAGTCAATGACTGTTTCAGCGAGGAAGGGCTTCTGCTGTCTTGGGGATGATTTGACCTCAGCTTTCCCCCTTACACACTTCCTGTACTCATCTGCTCACAAGCACGCCCACCTGTCACACAGGCGTTTGTGTGCATGTGTATCCAGGTATGCGCTCACATATTTAGATACACTCACACATCTGGACACCTCCTGTGCGTGCACAGGGGTGAGACAGACTTGCAGCCTCACACATAAACCTAGTGCGCTCTGGCATGTGTGTGCAGGTGCCCACACACGGGTCTCGTTCAGGGGCACGCTCCAGCGTAACTGGGCCAGGGCAGCTGGGGGTTTCCAGAGCTCAGATCCTCAGGCTCCAACCCCATCCCCACCCCCACCCTGCAGCTGTCCTGACCTTGTCTTCTGTAGAATTTGGGCCTAGGACTCATGCATGTGTCTTGGACTAGAAAGATAGCTAAGTGGTTGGAGTTCCTTACTGGTGCTCTGCCTTCCTGGGAGGCAGGGCCAGTCTCTGGGAGATGATGCTGCCCATCCCAAGACCTCAGTGACTGTAGGATTTGATGCCCTGGTGCTGTCTGCGCCACGTCTGTGGCCAGGGAAGGGCAGTGGCTGGTTGCTGGGCTGTGCATTGATGCGCTGTGTCCCCACCCAGCCCTAGCCCTGCCCTGTGAGATTGGTTGGTGTCTTAGCTTCACTCTCCCAGATGAGGGGACCGTCAGCTCTCTAAGTGGGGAAGGGGGTGGGCAGTGTCAGCACCTCCACTCTGCCACCTGGAGAGCCAGGAGTTTGCTTTGAACAGATGGGGAGAGGATCTGCCCCAGAGGACCCCGCATCCTCCAGAAAGGATGGAAAGGGGGAGGGAAGAGCTGGTGAGATCCGAGAGGGGGCTGGGGGGACAGGCCTCTGGGTCTGAAGCCAGGCCTTGGGCCTAGCTTGTACCTGATGCCTCTGGATAGGTTCCCCTGGATCTCAGTCAGGCCTGGCCCTGCTCACAGGCCCAAGGGGGAAGTCTCCTCCTGTACTCACTGGGGCCAGGCCGACTGGGAAGTCCTTGGGGCAGCGGAATCCCAGTAGGAGATCAGCTCCCAAAGGGCAGAAATGTGGCTCACCCTTTTCTGTCTCGAGCTGGTTCCCAGACAGTAGCCTCACCGTTCCTCCCTCTCCCATGTGCCCAGGAGCCGTGATGGGAGGGGTTTCAAGAACCTGGTTGTGCTGGGGGTGGGCTCTGGGCTGTATCCTGGTGCCTTGTGGGCAGGCCCTGAACACCCCTCTCTCCCTCTGCAGTGTCTTAGATGATGAGGGCAGCAACCTGAGGCAGCAGAAGCTTGACCGGCAGGTGAGTGAGGCTGGGATCAGGCGGCAGGGCAGTCAGCACTCACGGTCCTGGCCAGAGTCTGGGCTGGGGTCTCCAAGGGCAGAGGGGGAGGGCTGTCCCCTTCCTGGGGTGAGCCTGTCTGGCAGGGAGAAGCAGCTCTCCCCTTTTCCAGCTCAGCATTAGCACTGCCGCAGTACATGGGGCTTCGGCCGGGCCGGCAGCTGGGGTGACTGCAGTTAGAGGGCCAGATGTCTGCGTGATCCTGCCAGGGCAGCTACCTGGGCTGCATTTTGCCTCCCTTTCCTGGACCCCAAGTCTCGGGGCACCAAGGACATGAGGCCTTGGCCCAGAGTGGGCTGTGGACCCCAATGCGACCGACCTCTAGAACCCAGCTGAGCGAGCAGGGCCTTCTCTCTGGTCCCAGTCTGGGCGCCCTTCCTCTGGGTGGAGGCGGTGAGCTGCCCTCTAGGGTGCACCAACCTCTGTGCCTGTCCGGTGCCTCTGTAGCGGGCACTGCTGGAGCAGAAGCAGAAGAAGAAGCGCCAGGAGCCCCTGATGGTGCAGGCCAATGCCGACGGGCGGCCCCGGAGCCGGCGGGCCCGGCAGTCGGAGGAGCAGGCCCCCCTGGTGGAGTCCTACCTCAGCAGCAGCGGCAGCACCAGCTACCAAGGTACACCCTGCTCTTGGGGCAGCTGGGGACAGCCAGCCTGGGAAGCCCTTGTGCTGTGGCTTCACACCTCAGCACTGCTTTGGGGAGCCCCTCAGGGACTTCTTGCTGAGCTGGGCAGGTGAGGGGCTCCTCCTGTCAGGGTGTGCCCGGGCTGAAAATGACTCCCAGCCCAGAGTCCCAGCCTCTGCCCAGGGGCAGGCAGAGGGAGGCTGGGACCTGGAGCCTCGGGCTCCTGCATTTGCTCAGGCTGTCGGCTCCTGAATCAGCTGCGGGGCCAGAAGGCTAAAACTTCATGGATCTGGGAATTCAGCAGTCTGGGTTTCTGATCTGGAGTGTTCCACTGAGAGCAAGAGGCAGCTCCTAGGAGCAGGACAGTCTGCTCCCCACCAGCATTCTGCCTCCTGAGAGGAATCCATCTCAGTATCCCGCCCACACCAGCTAGGGTCTCTTGGTGACAGACACCTGTTGCCTCCCCTTCCTGGGCTCCCTGCACTCTCAGTCTACCTGGCTTCTGACCTGCAAGTCCCTTCACTGAGTCATGGTGATGAGCAGCCTCCAGCTCCCATCTTTGCACACTCCGGTTCTCAGCAGAGCCCACTTGCGGGGGGAGTTCTCTGCAGCTCATCGTGGATGGAGGATGGCTTCATTACATCCCTCTTGCTTAGATTAGGTTAAGAGTACCCCAGGCCGCATACAGTTTGGTGTCTCTGAGCCTGAAAGGAGCACTCTGACTCAGTCTCCACCGCCCCCTGCTGGTGCTGGTAATGCTGATGGCTTTTCCTCAGATAGTGACTATAAGAAGGTTGCAGGCATCTGGCTTTTGCAGTTGGAAGGAACCTTAGCAACCAAGGTGCGCCCCTCGTTCTGTGGCTTCCTCAGGACATGCAGCCTCCAGCCACTTTGAACTACTGGTAGTTGCCTCACCTCAGGACTAAGCTTTTTCATCTGACTGCTAGGCCCTCCCCACACCTGCCCCACAGCATCTCAGGTTCTGCTAACCCAGCCCTTAGCTCACTGGGTCCCCTTGTCCCTGCCTTGGAGGACACCATAGAGTCTCATTCACCTGCTGCCCAGTCTTGGCTTGGCATAGCAGACAAGCTCGGTCACCTCTGTGGGCACTCATACCTCTGAGGGAACCCATTTCACGTCTAATATAAAGGCTGTCTTTGGGCCAGTGGCTAAGCATGGTGCTAGGAGCCTTCCCTGCGTTATCTCATTTCTCCCCACAGTACCTCATTGTCCACACATGCTCAATAAGGAGATGGGCTCTGAGGGGTTCGACAACTCACCCTGGTACACTGCTAGTGAGCCTCGGGCTGAGGCTTTGAACCCAGGCTTGTTGGACTCCAAATGGCCTTTCCACCATTTTATGTTGCCTCCCTGACAGGAAGCTTCTTCATAGTAATTCCCCCACGTGTGCTTCAGTTCAGCACCTGGGGCCATAGCTGGTATGTCTGTGCTCCACCTGAGAGGCCCTTCAGAGGGGAGGGACAGGGACCTCAGCCTTGCTCTGCTGTCTTAGAGAGCAGCCTCCACTGCTCTGCACAGAACTGGCCCCCGGCCACACCCTTCCCTGCAGCCTCCGCATCACACTTCCTCCCAAGGGTGCTCTGTGTCCTGTGGAGCCTGGCCTGCTGCCATGTGGGCGTCACAGCCCCAGCCCTGCCAAGCCTGGCACCTGACCTTTTGAGGCTGCACATGGGATGGAAGCCCACTCCTGGGACTTACAGCCCTGCCAGGTTGTGCCAGAGGCCAGCATCTTGAGGCTTTGAGAGAGTCCTGCAAGTCACTGATGTGTAGTCATCTTGGCAGGTGTTTCTTGAGCACTGACCACGGGCCGGGGCCATGCCATGCCCATGCCAGGCCCGCAGAAAGACAGCAACACCTCCGGAAAGAATGCACGACCGAAGTCAGAAGACAGAGTCTCCAGTCAGGCCAATACTGGTCACCTGCTCACTTGTGACTGTGAACAACTCATTTACCCTGTCTGGGTCTGTTTCCTCCCCTGTCGAGTGAGGAAAAATTCTCAGTCTCAGGGCTTTGAAAATGGAAGCGGCCACGGTGTGTTCCGAGCTCTAATCAGCTGAATGCTCTTCCCTGCTGAGACCTCAGACCAGGCAGGGTGCATGCGGATCCTCTGGGGCCCAGTCTCTGCCCTGCTCTGAGTGGTGGGCAAAGCCATGAGGAGGCTGCTGCCCGCGGGGCTGGCCCAGCTGGGCTCCGTGTCTCCAAGAGTGCCCCCCAGGCCCACCTGCAGCATTAGCCGCCTCCTGCTCTGCCCTCTGCTGGCTCTTGGTGTTAAATACAAGGGGATCATTCCCAGAGGAAGATAAGGGAGTTTGACATCAGTCAGCCCTCACGGTTTATCCTGGTAAACAGGTTTTGACTTGCTGGCTGTGCTCATTCATATTATATATTCATCCATTTTTTAAATATCTGTTGAGGGCCTACTTTGTGTCAGGCTCTGGATTAGAGGCTAAGGGTCCAGAGTGAGCATAAACAGGCATGGTCTCTGTTCTCTCGTGGACCTTAAGGTCTAGGAGGGGAGAGAGAGTTAAACAGATGGTCATGGGTGTGCTTTGCAGAAAAAGGGGGCTCTGTGAGTGAATGACAGAGAGCCTGCTCCCAGACCAGGGTCAGGGAAGGCTTCCCTGAGGAGGTGATGCCTGAGCTGGACTCTGCAGGATGTGTGGAGGTTAATGGGAGGGGGCTGCAGTCGTGAGCGCAGTCCAGGCAGTGGGACAGCTGGAGCAAGGCCCCTGTGGCAAGAGGGCATGCGGCATGTACAGGGCACTGAGAGAGCGGGTGTGGCTGGGACCTGGGGTGCTGGGAGCTGAGGAGTGTGCAGTGAGGCTGAGGCCGAGGGGAAGGGAGGTGGAGGAGCCAGACTGGCACAAGAACGCTGGTCTTGGTCTTAAGAGCAATGAGAAACCATTCAAGGACTTTGAGCAGGTCGCGGTTCTGATGTGTGGAGAATTTGGAGGCCACCTGCTGTGACCCTTCCGAGACCTCTCTGTTGGTGTGTGCAGCTCCTTGTATCCCGGAGTTATTCTCCTGCCTCAGGGTGCTCTGGCACCCAGGCTGCCATGGGCTCGTCCCATGAGGGCGGGTGCAGGATCCCTGGATTGCTTGCCCTAGTTGTGGTCTCTTCTAGGAGATGTAGCCTTTTCTGTCTTCATCCGCCATCTTCAATGACCCACATTCTCCCAGACGCTCTTCCTCCCACTGCCTAGGCTCAGACAGTTTGCTGGCCCAGAGCTTTGACTGTTCTGCTTCTTGGTTGATCCTGGGGGTCATACTGGGCTGGGGGGTGCCACCTCCTTCCAGCTTGGCCTGCCCTGGGCACCTCTGCCTGGTAGAGATGGGTGGTACAGATGGTGGGGGTGGATCTGGGAAATATTCTGGTATGTGTGTTTGAGTTGGAGCCCGAGTCTCACCTGGTGCCCATTTCTCTCTCTCTCTCTCTGTCTCCTGAGCAGTTCAAGAGGCTGACTCACTTGCCAGTGTGCAGCTGGGAGCTGCCCACCCAACAGCACCAGCCTCAGCCAAGAGAACCAAGGCAGCAGCCGCAGCGGGGGGCCAGGGTGGGGCCTCTAGGAAGGAGAAGAAGGGGAAGCACAAAGGTTGGCTTGCCTTCACTATAGTCTTCCTCAGGAGGCCTGGCCCCCACTGTAGCGTTGGGGGTGGGCGTATCCTCCAGACTTGGAGGTGAGGGACAGGGTGGGAAGCCTCAGTGAAGGCACAAAATGGCGCTCAGGGCCCACACCCAGCTGGCTCACAGGCCTCATCTAGCTCATGGGGTGCCTTGGCTGGGCCATGGGTGTGGGCAGGCCCTCCATACTGCCGAGAAGTGAAGTCCAGCTCAGCTGTGACCCAGGAAGCCCGTCCCCCACCGCACTCTCTACCTCCATCCTGACCCAGGACACTCCCTCCAGTGGGGTGCACGGCCTCCCAGGCACTGGCCCCATGTCTGTGCAGCACTCACTCAACGTGTGGGCTTCCTCGACCCTCCATTCCAGTCCCAATTCCAGAGACTTCCAGTCTGTTCCCTCTGCTCCCCTCTTTCCAGAAAAGATCCTGAGAGATTAAGGACAGTTATGGTGGCCCCTGCCCCGAGGCTGGTCTCTGTTGGCTGGACGCCTTGTTTCCTCAGCCCTTGTGCCTGGGCGGAGATTTCCAGGCCTCAGGGTCACGGTTGGACAGTGGTATGTCACAGTCCCTAGGCTTCTGGAGCTGACTGCAGCATTTGGGGCATAGCCCAACCAGGCACGGTGGCCGCCACCTGTGTGGGCGAGGCCTTGCTTCTGTTACTGAAGCTGTGGCAACTTGGGCAGGAAGGCCGACTTGTGGCATGGGAGGTCCTCCATTTGGGAAGGCGAGTGTCTGCCAACCTCAGTCTTTTTCAGGGGGCCCCATATGTTTGTAATGCGGTGTGTGAGTTACTGCGTGTGTCTGTCCGTGAGAGAGAGAGGGGTGGGGCACATCAGCACCGATAACCGTAGCTGGCCAGGTCCGGGAACGAGTGGTGGCCCCGGCTGTGGTCTGGATTGTCCTTGTTCTCCATCTCGTCTTTTTCACTGTGCGGTTAGTTTTGTAGATGGCTGCTGTCTGCCTAGGGATGTGAGGCATTGCAAACCAACCCTCGGCAACTAATTTGGGGGAACAGCAGAAGAAATGAAGCCCATGTCCCTTCATAGCTTACCAATCATTAAGAGGCTGACAGCAGTTGTTAGTTTTTAAAAATCAGTTTTGCAAATAAAGTTTTGCAGAGGGTCCCCCTACTCATCCCTCCCCCACTTCATGGACATCTGAGAATCCAGGCTTTCCCCTCCGCTCCCCACCCCTGGATGGGACTCAGGAGTGTCCGTGGCCTGCAGGCACCAGCGGGCCAGCAGCACTGGCAGAAGACAAGTCTGAGGCCCGAGACCCGGTGCAGATCCTGACTGTGGGCCAGTCGGACCACGCCCAGGACGCCGGGGAAACAGCAGCTGGTGGGGGCGCACAGCCCAGCGGGCAGGACCTCCGTGCCAAGATGCAGAGAAAGGGTGAGCCCCGTGGAGGTCCAGTGACACCCCCAAAGCTCAGTTCTAGGTTCTCAGATGTACCTTTCTTGGGGAGCATGGCCTTCCTGTGTCTGTTCCAGCCTCGCCCAGGCCCTGGTGGGGGGTACACTTGGAGACCAAGGAGAAACTTGGGCAGGGGCCCCTGATGAGGCCAAGTTAAGGGAAAGAAGTGTGAACCAGGGTAACCAACCAGCCCCAGCCCAGCCCAGCCCTGTCTCTCCCCAGCTCCTGCCGCCGGCGAGGCCCAGGTTTGGGGACAGATTTCCTTTCTCTTTGATTCCTTTGAAAAAGCTTTTGCAAAACGTTCCTGCTGTGTCTGCTGAGCTAGGGGAAGCAGGGTCAGGACGCCAAGAGGCACGGCAGATCCTCCCGGGAAACCTGTTGCCCGGGTTCCCCACCATAAGGCCTGCCCCAGGGAGGTGGCAGAGGGAAGCCTGGCAGTGCCACACCTTCTGAGGAATTGGATCAGGGACGGCTTCCTGGAGAAAGGGCTGTTGAGGCAACTTGAGGCTGGGGATGGCATTCCGGGTGGGCAGAAGCATGTAGTCTGGGCCGGCCCCGTGGCTTGGCGGTTAAGTGCGTGCGCTCCGCTGCCGGCGGCCCGGGTTCGGATCCCGGGTGCGCACCGAGGCACCACTCCTCCAGCCATGCTGAGGCCGCGTCCCACATACAGCAACTAGAAGGATGTGTAGCTATGACAGACAACTATGTACTGGGGCTTTGGGGGAAAAAAAAAAAAAAAAAATCTTTAAAAAAAAAAAAAAAAAAGAAGCATGTAGTCAGAGGGCCCTGGGCAGGCTGGGGAGAGGAGGAGTCGGTGGGCCCCACACCAGCTCAGGCTGAGTAAGGAGCTAGGCCTTTCCCGAGACATTCCTTGGCCCGTGCCAGCCAAGGGCCTCTAATAGGCCTGAGGCCAGAAATGGAGGCTCCCAGTGCAGGGTCAGCTCAGCTCAGGTCTTAGGACACAGGAGACAGGACACCGACTGCTAGAGAGGAGGGGGTCTGATGGAAGCACCCACCCAAAGCTGGGGCAGGGGGTGTACCCAGAGGATTGTGACCAGCCCCAGCTCATGTATGCATCTGAGAGAGTGTGTGTCCTTGTGTGTATCTGGATATATGTGTGGGAGTATGTGTGAATGCATGTGTGTACATACGGCTGTGTGTGTGTGTGTGTGAGAGATTCTGTCCGTGAACAGGTGTCTGAGTGTGTATATGTGACCACTCATCTCTTCCTGCTCCTCTGCCTGGCCTAGGCGTCTCCAGCAGCATGAGCTTTGAAGAGGAAGAGGAAGATGAGGACGAGAACAGCTCCAGCTCCTCCCAGCTAAACAGCAACACCCGCCCCAGCTCTGCTACTAGCAGGAAGTCCATCAAGGTGAGTGAGGAGCTTTCATGCCCAGTAGGAGGGTGGATGGCAGTGTTCGGAGGGCCGGTCATCCAGGATGGAGGGGGAATGAATGTAAAGAAATGATGGAGAGTTGGCTTTCCTGGAGCCAGAGGCTGGGCCCAGGTGGCTATCCAGTTTCTCTGGCCTGGGCTCTTCTGCCCTCCCACCCTGCCTGCCATTCTCTTCAGCCAGGCCAGGAGCAGGGGGGAGCTGGAGTTGGACAGGATGACCTCTGAGAACCTGCCCGTATCCCCCACTCCACCCCCAGGGATTGCGGAGGTGAGGGAAGGGCTGGGAAGTTAGCTGCTGACGCCAGGGCCAGGATGGCCAGGCCCACATCTCAGGGACCCTGCCCTATCTCCCACCACCACATCGGGGGCTGCTTTGGATCCCAGACCATCACTTTCAGCTGCTCAGAGTCCTTGGGCTCACGCTCCTCTTCTCCCCTGTAGGAGGCAGCCTCAGCCCCCAGCCCGACAGCCCCAGAGCCTTCGGTGGATGTTGAGGTCCAGGATCTGGAGGAGTTTGCACTGAGACCAGCCCCCCAGGGTATCACCATCAAGTGCCGCATCACGCGGGACAAGAAGGGGATGGACCGGGGCATGTACCCCACCTACTTTCTGCATCTGGACCGCGAGGATGGGAAGAAGGTGAGGTTGGCCTGGACGTGCAGTTTCACCTAGGCAGGCTTGAGGTTCTAGGGGCTGGAACGTGACTGGAAGCTTCAGATCCAACGCTGACCTTCCAGTTCCCCCAGAGACAGAAGCCTCCATGCCTGGTCGGTGCATACCTTTGTGTTTGCCAGTGCACTTGTGTGTGTGTGCACATATATGTGTTCGGGAGTTGAAGCAAGAGAGAGTCACTCGTGTGAGCGTGGGCATGTGAGTGGCACTATGATTGTGTGCAGACCAGAGGCTGGGCCTGGAACGTGACCTTGCTCCACTCCCCAAGGTGTTCCTCCTGGCTGGAAGGAAGAGAAAGAAGAGTAAAACTTCCAATTACCTCATCTCCGTGGACCCAACAGACTTGTCTCGAGGCGGGGACAGCTACATCGGGAAACTGCGGTATCAGCTCTCTCCCGCCGAGTAGGCAGGGTGGGAGGGAGGGGCAGGGGCTGGCTCTCGGGAGAAGCATGTCTCGTCCCTGAAGGAGATCTAGGCCAGGGATCAGATCCCTTCCAGGATCCTCTCTGTCCATCAGATCCAACCATAGGCCTAGGGCTGGACCTGGAGATGGGCCTCACATACCCCACCCTAAGCTGCTCCCAAACAGGTGGGCACAGGCCCACCAAGAGTGATGGAGCAACCCCCAGGATGTCACTGATGATGTAGGCCACCACGGAAGAGCCGCCTTAGCATCTCTGTCAGTGCGAAGGGGCAGGGCTGAGTGAGCCCTTGAGGGAAGAGAGAGCAACCTCGGGGTGGCGGGAAGGCTCTGAGCTAGGCCTCAGGGAGGGAAGGTTTGCTGAGGAACAGAGTGCCAGATTTGGGGAGCATAAATCAAGCTTAGAGGTGAGGAGCTAGAGCTGGAGATGGGGCTGGACTGAGACTCACAGGCTGGACAGGACAGAGGAGATGATCTCATCCAGGCTCCATGGGGTGCTGAGTCTCCTCTGCAGCCTTGCCAGATGCCATTCTGCTTGCTCACCTCCCATGAGGGAAGCACTCCTGCTCTTCCAGGGAAACTTCCTGTGGAACCCAGATTTACCTCTCTGAATTTCCCTCACTGAACTGAGATGCTCTTTGATTCAGCTCAGAGCAAGTCCAGGCCTTCTGGCCATGAAGCGCCTTCAAAGATGGGGATTCAGTGAGCAGTGTGCCCCTAGGTCTGCTCCTGACCCAGCCCAGAATGCTTTGCAGACTCCTCACAGGACAGACTCGGAGCTGTTCCCTGCCCTGGGGCAGAGGGTACATGACCCTCTACTGATTGTGCCTGTCCTTCAGGTCCAACCTCATGGGCACTAAGTTCACCGTTTACGACAACGGAGTCAACCCTCAGAAGGCGGCATCCTCTACTTTGGAAAGCGGAACCTTGCGTCAGGAACTGGCAGCTGTGTGCTACGTGAGTCCTGCATTCCTGGGTCTCTGGTCTCTGAGTTAGACATGACACTCAGGACTTGCTACCTAATCCATGGGCTATCCCATCTACGTGGGAAAACAAGGCTGCGCAGAGGTGGGCTGCTGTCTGTGGAGTGGCCCCTGTCTGGGATAGGGGCCCTGGCCCTCTTCTGTTTTCACAGCTCAGAGCACAGCTGGCCATCTGCCTGGGGAGGTCTGGGAACCAGGCCTGGCTCTGTGCAGCCCAGGCTGGGAGTCTCCTGGAAAGGAGGGGGCAGGAGGCCTGGGTTCTTGTCAGTGCACCCCTCCAATCCTTCCTCCAGTATCCAGGTCCTACATGGAGTATAAGGCCCTTTGCATAATCATCTCACTGAATGTTCAACCCATGAGCTCAATCCTATTTTCTTTATTATACAGATAAGGAAACTGAAGCTCAGAGGTTGGGTCACTTGCCAGTGTCACCCAGCTCATAAATGACCAAACTGGAATATAAAGACAGGAGATTTTCCACCTTATTTTAAAATGAGGGATTGGTACCCCGATCGACCTGGGCATGGGCACTTCTTGGAGGCTAATTGGGAATCTGCAGCTGTTCTATGAGCCTGTGGTGCCACCTGCTGGTCAGTTGTGGGGAGGCAGCCCAAATCTCTTCAAATACTTAACTGAGCCCCAACCCTGTTCCAGAGACTGTTTGAGGCACTGAGAATATAGTAGTGAATAAGAAAAGTAAATTTATACCCTGGTGGGACTTAAGCCCCAACAAGGGGAGACAAGCTATAGAACAGACATATAAGCAAGAAATATGTTCCTGCTAAGTGTTGAGAAAAATAAAGCAAGGAAGAGGGATATGAAATGTCCAGGTGTGTGTGAGCTGTTAGGAAGGACAGCAGGGAGGGCCGCACTCAGGGAGCGCGTGGGTAAAGCCCAGAAGGAAGTGAGAGCCAACTGTGTCTCGGATGCCTGGCACGTAGGGGGAATAGCGAGGAGCGTGGAGTGAACGCAGGGGAGAGTAAATGGTGAGGAGAGGGAGGTAATGGGGCAGAATCATGTGAGGCCTTGCAGGTTGAGGTAAGACCTTCAGCTTTTACCCTGAGTGAACTGGGGAGGAAAACAATCTGACTTAACAGGACCACTTGCTGCTGTGTGAGAACAGATGACAGGGAGGAGGGCGGGGGCCAAGGAGGGAAACAGGGAGTCCAGTTAAAGGCTGTTACTGTGATCTCTGTGAGAGATGGTTGTGGGGAAAAGTGGGCGATAAATTCTGGATATAATTTGAAAGTGGAGCTGACAGCATTTGCGGATGGATTAGAAATGGGATGTGAGAGGAGAGGAGTGGAGTATGACTCCAAGTATTCGACCTGAGCAAACGGAAGACCTGAGTGCCGTTAACTGAGGTGAGGAAGACTGTACGAGGAGCTAGTTTCGGCAGAGTGGAGATGCAGGAGCTGGATTCTGGACGTGTTAAGTTGAGAGGTGCCTATCAGTTGTTCAAGTGGAGACAGTGAAAACTAGCCCATCATCTTTATTCCCTCTACCAGTCTCTCCAGTAGGTAAGTAGAGTCCTCAGATGGCCAGTGTTCAGTTCTCTCTCTCTGTTTCCCAGGAGACAAATGTCTTAGGTTTCAAGGGGCCACGGAAGATGAGTGTGATTGTCCCAGGCATGAACATGGTTCACGAGAGAGTCTCCATCCGGCCCCGCAACGTGAGTCTCTGCCCCATCTCAGCCCTTCCCCATCATCCCGCCTCTGCACGAGCTCCTAAGGGCAGAACCCCAGCTGGTGTGTATATGTGTAGGAGACACAGTGTGAGGAGGCCTGGAGGTCTAGGGAAATCTAAGGACCCCCACCCCTCGGGCAGATCCCTCTTTGGGGTGGTCATGGTGCCAAGGCCTGGGCCGGGCTCAGGTGAGGCTGCCCTCCCAGGAGCATGAGACGCTGCTAGCACGCTGGCAGAATAAAAACACGGAGAGTATCATCGAGCTGCAAAACAAGACGCCTGTCTGGAATGACGACACACAGTCCTACGTACTCAACTTCCATGGGCGCGTCACACAGGCCTCCGTGAAGAACTTCCAGATCATCCATGGCAATGACCGTGAGTTTTCTGCCCTTACTCATTACTGTCCACATGATACCTGGGGCGCTTAGCTCAGGGTTCAGCTCACCTAGCTGTGCCCATATAGACCAGAGCTTAAGGAAGTGAGTTATATGGCTTAGATTAGACCTTTCTAACCATAGTGACTGGAAGGCCTGGAAGAACCTTCTTTGGATCCCTGACCCAGGATTCTGTGCACTCAGCAGAGTCTCAGGTGTGGGAACACCCTTTGAATGGATTTTTTCTCTTCTTCCCTGTCTTCGGTGTTCGTGTATACCTTTCTTTTTCCTTTGTCACCTGCTCCCTCTCTCCTGCCATTTCTTCCACGTGGTCTGTGTTTTCTCCCCTTTGGGATTTCTTTGGCATCTCTGCATCTCGCTCTCTCTTCTTTCTCGTGGTTTGGATGTCTATCTGTCCTTCTCCATCTCCACCATCCCGCTCTGTCCCTCTCTCCACGCTTGTGCCTGGTTCCAGCGGACTACATCGTGATGCAGTTTGGCCGGGTAGCAGAGGATGTGTTCACCATGGATTACAACTACCCGCTGTGTGCGCTGCAGGCCTTCGCCATCGCCCTGTCCAGCTTCGACAGCAAGCTGGCCTGCGAGTAGAGGCCTCCTTGTACCCTTTGGGGTTCCCAGCCTGGAGAGGAGCTGCCTGCCCACCTGTGGAGACAGCCCCGCCTACCCTCTGTACATAGGCCTCCTGCCAGATGAACCTTTGGCTCTCAGTGGGCTCCTTGGCCAAGCCAGCCAAGAACTGGCTCCTCTGCCTCCACTGCTGAGGCAGAGGAGTGGGGGATGTGTGTGAAGGGACCAGAGTGAATTCTTTCTGTGCTCCAAGATCAGCACACACCCCTACTTGTGGGTTAGTATCCTGCTGCAATCGTGTTTGCCAAGCTGGGCAGCCTCTTCAGCTGGGAAGGCAGGAAGAGGTGTAGAGGGAGAGGAAGCACAACACAGGGCTGCTGGGGCCCAGCCAGCCATACATTCAGCCCAGGAGTCAGATGACAATGGTCCCCAACAGCAAAGGACACATGAGTGTGTGTGTTAGAGCGTGTGTAGGACACACTGACTTTACATAGCAAAGGGCCTGGTAGCCGAGCCGGGCCCTTACAACTGCAGAGTCCTCAGACTTGAGAAGGCCTCAGCCAGGCCTGGGAGAAGTGATGGGTTGGGGCAAGGTGAGTGGTGAGACCTTGTCAGGATTGCATGGGCCTGGCTCTAGCTGTGGGAAGTGGCTGGTGGCCTGGGGTTCTAGCTCATTTGATTTCTCTAGGCTTTCTCTGTGCAGAGGCAGCAGGAGGAGGCCCTCAAGGCCAGATGTCTTAGAGGATGGGGCATACAGGACACAGGCTCAGCAGGCGGGAGGTGCCTGGAACAGGCTCCCTGGATCAGGCCTGTCCTGGGAGCCCTGTCAGCTGCCCCAGGAGCTCTCTGCTGAGCAGCGCCTGCACAACCCCCAGGAATGTGGACGGGGCCTAGGTCACCAGCCCCAGACTGCACACAGGTAGGCATGCCTGGGGCTCTGGCTGGCAGGGCACCATTCCTGAGCCCTGGCATGCTCCAGAAGCACTTCCAGCTCCAGGTGCTCTTGCCTGTACTTCAGCTCCCACTGAGTCAGCCTAGGTCGCAGTTGCTGAGGGCTTCCGTGTGTGGTTCTTCTTGGGTGGGAATGGGACAGGGTGAGGAGAGCAGGGAGTATTTTAGAACCACAAGAAATCAGAGGTGGCGGGACCCTTAGAGATCAACTAGTACAAACCTGTCACTTTAGGTGAAACACACTCAGAAAATGGGACTTGCCGTGGGCCACCTGGCTGGTTAGTGGGAGAGTTCAGAACTTTAGCTCCCCTGATTTCTTTGTTCCCGGCAGCCCCTTAGAAATTGCTGTCTCTTGCTCTCTGGCCTTTCTGGGGCCCAGTCTGCATGCCCTTTCCCTTTCGCCTGATTTCAGAGACTTAGAAATGTCCGCGTTATGTATGAAGTTTGAAACCATTTCAGTAGGAAGTTGGGCGGTTCCTGCTGCTGAAAGCTGTCTGGCTTTGTGCACGTCCAGCTGGTCAGGACTGGCCTGCGTCTGGCTCCTCCCTGCGAGCAGGCTTAGTAAGGCTGCTGCCCATTTCTCTATCTACGGTGATAGGTGGGTGTGAGTCCCGGGGCTGGGCCTGGTCTCTCCCTCACCACCATCCTTCTTGGATGGCACCATCTACCCTGAAGACTTGGGAACTCTAAGCTCTTGCCTATTAGTCATTTACCCTGGCAGAGACTACTTGCCCAGATGGAGATCAGAATCAGTGAGAAGGAAGCAGGAGTTGTTCCTCACTTCAGAGTAGATGTGCTTGGAAAGGCTACATAGAAATTGAATTTTTAAAAAATAAAAGTCATACTTCAAACATGTTAGGCTCCGGAGTAAGGTGAAGGAGTTGTTCTGACCTAAGTCAAGTAGCACGCTCTCCTTTCCTTGTAATAGATTTTCCTATGTTGAGTGCTTAAAGCAGGGCAGACCTGTTCTAGCACAGATCTGCCCACACCTTGGGCATCCATCTCTGTGAGAGGCCCCTCCAAAGATCTTGTTTTGGTTAACATGGTCTAGTTTCTAGACAGCTCTTGACTTGGGGCGATTTGGGGGCACTAGAACTTTTTGTACTGCAGCTGGTCCACTTTCCAGTGACATACTGTGGTGCCATCTTCCTTTCCATGGTCCCAGTTTGGCTCTTCCTTTCCTGACTTTGAGAAGAGACCTGCTGACATTTAGGATGATGGAAACTAGACGATCTCTTTTAAAGTCTGGTCAAGCTATTTCTCTGCATCTACGATTTTAAGGTGGAACAGGCTGATTTTGGATCCTGGTGGCAGAGTGGAAAAATCAGAAGCACAATGGAAAACTCATGTCCCCTCCTTTCTCCTGTGGTACACAGGAGAGGGGGGGTTGGCTGCATATTTTGGAACGGTCAGGAATGTGGGCTGAGCTTTCTAGTCTAGGCGTGGAGAAGGTCAGCTCAGCAACAAAAAACCTTCTGTTGGGCACTGAGTGACAAGTAAGAGCAGGTGAGTCATCTGCTCAAGACCCAGCCTCAAAAGGTCTGTTTTTAAGATCCCATTCCTGGTGATGCTGGTTTTCCTTGACCTCTGGCCTCAGAGCCATGGGCCCAGACTCATGAAGCTGCCAGGGCCCCTGGAGACCACCTGGGCTCAGCCTCTCCCACAGTAAGAGTTATTGCCCTTCACACCCTCTACCCAAATGGTCCTTGGTTGGGCAGGGAACTTGATGATGGAATGAGCAGCCTCTAAGGGTGTCGGGCAGCTGGGACCTTAGGCAGCTCCTCTGTAATCGCTCCTGGCTCTGTAACAACTCTTGGGGCCACACCCCAAAACTCGACACCCTCTGCCCCAAAACAGTTCTTTTGCAGAGTGGTGAAGCTCACTTGCCCAACTCTTCTCCAGTTCTAGCTTTTCTTTCCTTCTGGCTCCAAGGTGCTCTGTGTCTATCTGTTGTGTCTCTGTGTCTTTGTATATATTTGGGGAAAAGGGCAATCTGGAAACAATCAACTGAGGTTTCTTATTACGATCCTATTTCTAAGGATGAGTAGGAAAGGAGTAAGGATGTAGTTGTGATCACCTGTGGATTTTGTTCATTCATTTCATGCTCTTTGATCAGAAAGTATCCCTGGGGAAGTACCAGCTCTATCTCTCAAGGTTCTGATTGGGAGGACACCATCCAGGAAAATTAGTTTTTCAGTTCCCATTCTGCATTACCTGAAGAAATTGGTGTTTTGCATGCATGCTTTTGGATGAATTTGAACATATTCTAGTGAATGTGCCTTAAAAAATCATGACACTAGTTCAGAAGGCGTGTGTAAGGTTCAGACCATGCTGAGGACAGGGGTTGAAGCCAGAGAGTGTGACAATCACAGGTTAGACGAGAACCTTTGGAGCCGCCTCCTTCAGTGACAAGAAGGGTAACAACGTTGTAGAAGCTTCAAGCTAGAAAGAGCGGGGCATTTACCTCTAAATAAATTCACCATTTATTTAGAAGCAGTTCTAAATTTAACAAGCAACAGTGATTTCAAACCAAGAGGTCCACCCTTTCCTCACTGCAGACCCCGCCGTGAGGGGAGGTGCTGGGCCAGCTGTGTCTGTGCTCCGTTATGCAGGCACAAATCCCATCTCCTAGATGGAATCCCTGGTTCTCCCTTCTGAAGGCGCTAACACTGGCCTTCCCCTCTCTTAATTCCTCGTCCCAGTCGAGATATTCCTGTGACCTCAGGATGCCAGGTGGCCCTCAGAGCACACTTTTCCAGATAGCTGAGTGAGTGCTTTCATGTGGTGCCCAGCACTGAGTGGGGCCTGACTCCCCTGCACATAGGGCCCAGAGTTGGGACCCTTCACTGCCCTGGGCCCTGGCTTGTAGAACTAGAGCAGCCCCCAGGAACAGCCCAAGGGACAGGCTCTTGTTTGAGTTTACTGGCCACCTGTTTGCAACGTTCTGTCATCTCAGGATATGGGGGAGAGGCAGAGCAGAAGTACTGGGACGGGTTTGGGTTTTGAATTTTTCAAACAAGTTGAGAGGCAAGTTGGTCTTATGGAAAGCACTACTGCACTTAGTAGCTACGTGACTGAGCAAATCACGTAATTTTTCTAGGTCTGTTTTTCATACAAAATGAGGTTGGACTGTCAAAGCTTTGCAGTAGGATTCAGGGTGAATGAAAGTTGATCCTTGCTTTCATCACTACCTTTTCTAGCTCATCACTGTGCCTTTCTTCTTTCCTAAGAAAGACGTCACACCCCTCCCCTCTTCTGTTCCACTGTCCCTCCCCATTCCCGCATCAAGGTCCAGGCAGAGCTGGAGATAGGCTGAGATCCAGAGTTTTCCTAGAGAGTAACTTAGAGTGGCTGAGAAAGGGAAGCCCGACTCTGGCCTCTTTAATCCTGCACTTGGTGACAAAGGGGACTTGGTCAGGACGGGTGACACTTATCTTGCTGGGAGCATACATTTAGCCAGTTTTCATAATGCCTAGAATGTGTATGTCTATTTGCACAAGATTGTCTTTTCCTATTTTGGAGTGGTCAGACATTTTATTTTTGTTGGAAATTATCTGGAGTTTTAGACGAACTTGCAAAACTGTGCTTTTATTAAGTGACTTTTTTGAATAAACTCTTTGGTATTCTGGAGCAAATGTATTTATTTACTCATATGTGCAATGACAAAGTTGGTATTTTCCCATGTTGACATTATGTATGTTGTAGAACTTAGTGTTTGTCTAAGTACAGACCATATATCAACTAATTAAACTTGAACTGTTTCAACACTGCTGTGTATGTTTTCTTTCTTTTAAAAGGAGAAAAACACACATTTCTTACCTAGAAGTTTTTTTTCCACACCATTCATTCCTTCTGTCCTAAGAGCCTCAGGGGTGGGGAGGAGGGTGGTGGTAACAAGGGGATCATAGCTTGTTTACAAACAAACAATGACGTGGGCAGCAACAGTCCTCCTTCTGGCCCTGTTCTTGACATCTAAGGATGGTCAGAACCACACGTGGAGGCTGGGAGGAGCTGGAAGAATGGGAAGGATACCAGGTACTTAAGTCTGAGCACTCCTCTGCAGGGTCAGCTGCGCCAACTAGAAGAACGGGCTGCTGGTTCCTAAGTATCCCTCGTGGGCCCGGCCCTTGGAAACAAAAACAGAGCTGAAAAAGGTGAGGAAGGCCCAGGTAGTAGAAGTATGAAGACCCAGCCACTTCATTCCTTTGGCCCTACGTAGAGCCTAACCTATTTAAACAGAACTTGGACATACTTGGGGATTTTCTTTTCAGCCTGTGTCAGATCTGAAGCCAAGAGCAAAGGAAGCTGCAGTTGTGGCTAGAAGCAGACAGGAAAGCTAACGGTCTGATCCTGAGGGAAGAGGTCAAAACTCAAGGTCAAAACACCCGGAGACTATGGAACCCTGTCAGGGCAGCCTTGGAGAGTGTCAAGTGTGACTGACTGCCCAGCAGCACAGGACTTGATGACAGCGATGATGCTGTCACGAGCACCTACCATACGCTACACGCTGGGACAGACTCCTTATAAACAGTATCTCGTTTAATCCTAACAGCCCTGCAAGGTGGGTATTATGCTCAATTCAAAAATGAGGAAATTGGTGCTCAGAGAAGTTAATGAATGATCTAAGAAAAAGGAGACATTTGTTCTGTTTTCTTTGATTAGAAAATAGGAAAGGTTAGGTATATTTTAGAGTTGTATAAAAATAGTCAATGCAAAGTCATGGACAGTTCATGTTTTTTCTCAATATTGGTAGCTGAAGTACTGGATTTTTCTTTGGCATATAAATAGGGAATTAAAGAGTGTGGTCATACGTAGGGTTGGTTTATGTATTACCCCAGATTTGGAGTTCTTATGTGGCCAATAGCATTTCCCGCCTGAACTATAGCCTAGCTCCTTGGCTCTGCCTCTGAGGGAAATAGCTTGTGCAGGGTATTAGTAAAAAGGAAAGAGATTTCTGTTGTTTAATGGTCAGATTAAGGACAGTCTTTTAAACGGCCATGGATAGGGTGACTGTATGTCCAGGATAGTCCTGGTTTACATCTATTATCCTGGCATAAGTATTATCAAAGCTCCCTTTTTTCAAAGTGTCCCAGTTTGGACCATAAGTTGTTTGCTCACCCAAGCCATAAAAGGTGCAGAGAGTGTGGTTCTCGTAGGCCATCTCTTCTAGAGGCCAAATATGCCTCCACTCCTCAACGCACCTCCCTGGGCCTCACTTCTGGAGCTCACCCATCACTAGTCCTGGAGCTCACGATGTGCTGTCCTTGTGCTCCTGTTATGGCCAGGAAAGGGGATCTCCTGGCTGGATCACCCACCTGATTTACCAGGCATGCTCTCAGGGGATGCAGTTGTTTGCTAGGCCAACTCTCAAGCCCCAGAGCTATGACTGTGCTCTGCCACAGTGCCCAAAAGTCACTGCAGACCCAATGCCAGGGGACTGATCAAGTTCACAGCCCAGACCAGTTCTGAGAAATGAAGACCATGAAGGAAGAGACAGCAAGCATCACAAAAAAACCAGTCCCACAATTTTGGTCATCCTGGGTTGTATAAACACATAATTGTTATCCCTGAAGGATAAAATAATTCTGTAAAATCCAAAAAGGACTCTAATCTGAAATGATGATTGAAGAGTACATCAAAAAGTACATCAAAATATAAATACATAAATATATTCCTGCTATATAAACCAACCAAGAGCTAGGGCAGCAAAAGCCATCATGAGGTCTTAGTACTTCTGGCAGGAACTATTTCCATAAGCCAGTTTCCCCCAAAGATTAACATTCAAAATAAAGAGCTTGTTTTGCAATACCTTATATACCAGCCTCATCAAAATAGCTGAACAACCATATACTTTCATACCCTGCTGCTTTCTCTAATACTAGTCTTTCTGCCAAGAATCCTTTCTCTTCATTGCCCACCTGGAGAAGTTCTTAACCTGCTCAAGACCCACCCCCTCTGTAGGTTTCTTGGAAGTATTTTGGCAAAAATGATGTCTTTGTGCTCCTATAGATTTGGGTCCATCTCTCAATTATAGCATAAAACCTTGGACAAAAAACTTAGCCACCACTTATTGAGTGCTTATCATGTATGAGATAGGACCAATGCTGTTTTACAGGCACTGATGATTTCATTTAATTCTCATAACCACCCTGTGAGACCTGACTTTTACTCTCTCTGCTTTAGAGATGAGAAAGCCAAGGCTCAGAAGGGCTAAGGAGCCGACAAGATTCTATAGCTAGAACAGTCAAGGATGGAATCATGACTGGCATTTCCTTGCCTGCAGAATTCACAATCTTGAGCCCTTTTACAGTCATTTAAAAAAATGAATTGGGTAAGCCTCCCACATTAAACTGCGTTTTTAAAGGGAAGAATTAAGCCTACTGTTCCCATTGCCTAGCTCTGAGCAGTGTCTGCTAAATGAATAAATGAATGAATGAGCTAGAAGGAAACAAATACCTATCTCTAATAAGGAAACCATATCCTAAAGCAAAAAAGAAATTTGACCCAGGGACGCAGGACTCTCCTCATAAATCAATCCCTCATGGTGAATGAAGGGAAATAACAAAAAATAATTTATCAAAACCGTAAACAGCACCTACGTTATTTTTTACCTTTAGCATTACATTACATCTAGACTGTTTTCAGTACATTTTAAGCTGCATTCTTTACAAGTGAATCAAATGTTCCACACAGAGAGAGATGCAATATACTTTCTATAGACTCCACCTTCAATGACTTTTCCCTGTAGTTCAGTAACCAGCCAGAAAGGCCTAGTAGTAGCTGACACATTATCTTACTATGATCCCATACCTTCTGCCGGGAGTCTGTATGCTTACGTGTGATTTAAACTCTTTTCCTGACATCTTACTCATGCCAGCACAATGGGACTCTAAAAGCTATATCTACCTTTACATAATTTCTTAATTTTCAAATCTTCTGCATTTCATGACTGGGAATGTCCTCAGGAATGTGTCCTCTTTAAACTCTCAGGTTGTACATGTAAACTGTGGATTCACTCATCCTTACTAGACGGAATTCACGGGTGCCATCCTGTCTCAAGACACATGACAGACGGCAGCTTAGAGATTAGGCCTTTAGTTCGGTCAAAATCCTCCCAGTCCAAATCTACCTCCTGCTTCCCCAGCTCTCTCAAAGGACCCAGATATCCGAATATAGAACAAATGGTCTCTTCCCTGGGCACTGCTATGTTGGTTCTCCACAAGAGACACACTCTGCAACTTCTCCGTTGGGCTGGCACTTTGTCTACCACCTCAGTCCTTCTCATTTCTGCTTCCATTCGTGGCTGTGAGAACAAATTTCCCAGAGGACACAACATTCAGAAACAGCTTCTAGGAAAGGACTTCTCCATAGTGCGAGGGTTCTGTCCTTGTCACTGGCTCTCTGGCCTTCTGAGCATCTCATACCAGGACCATCACCCTTGGGCAGGCTTTCCTGCAGGCTCAAATCTCGGCCCTGCAGGACAAAGACTAAAGTTTCTATCTAAAGCTTCCTCTGCCCACTGAAGACCAGAGGTACAAAGGTGCTTCTACATTTGGCAGTTCTGTTAGGCAGAACAGGGATAGAGGAAGCTAGAGATTCAGGCAGTATCAGAGCAACACAGTCCCCAACAGGCCCCTGGGCTCATTCTCAGGTCAGTCCGAGTCTCTGCTACTCTGGAGAAAAGCGGATGTTGAGGCCGCATCAGTGCTCCTAAAGAGGCCCTCGCCGTGAGGAAGGGGCTTCAGCTCAGACAGCAGAGTTCTTACCCTGCTCTGGCCCCATCATCCCACAAACAAAATGTTCTCTTCTTAAACCCCGGGGACCACTAACCTGCTCAAGGCCCACAGAATAAGGCATCTTGGACTCTGAAATCTTCACTGTTGCAACCTTAAGTCCTCATCATGTGTAAGCTGATGTATGCTCACAGGTAAACCATCTGTTCCTCCTAGCACGAAGAGTCGGACCTCTTCCCTGAGTGGTCTCATCTGTAATCACGATAGATCAAACATAATTACCCAGTGGATCAACTTGCTGATGGAGGGAAGGCAGAAAGAGAAAGAGTGAAGCTGTCTGGTGTTCATACTAATCCCTATGATGTTTTACAAGGTGACAGGCATGTGAGCACCAGGAAGGATACATGATATCCAGGGTAGTGGCCTGACTGGCTATGATATTTAAACACAGAGAATGAAGTACAGGGCACAAGGCCAAGGATGAAATCTGAGAGAGGAGGGAAAGGTCACCTCAGGACTAGCGTAATGGACACTTCACCAAACTGGCTGTTTTCACTGTAAACCCTCGGGGTTCCGCTTCCTCAGCGTGCCACCTGTATATGCTTTATCAGTGCTGATGCCCACCCCCTCATCTCTGGAGTCTTGGGGCCATATTTCTTTGGTGGCTTCCTCTTGCTCACTGTAACTGTCTGCAATGAATCCAGCATTCTCTGCCAAGACAGCAGGATCCTCCTCTTCAGGAAAACAGCAGGAACATGTTTCTGGCTCTGGGTCACATGAGGTAACAGAATTATCTTCCTGGGCTCCAGGGTCAGTGGGCACTTCCCACCCCAAATGGTCTGCTGCTTCTTCTAGCATTCCCATCCCTTCAGCTATTTCTTCAGCAGAGGGCTCTTCTGGGTCAGGGTAATCCACCAGAATTGTTTCTTGCCTACGCTTGATGCAATCTGAAAGGTCATAAATTGGATAAGTCTCTTCAGGGTAACCTAGAGAGAAAAGCAGCACAAAGTCTTACAAAGAATGTCTCTTCAAAATAAATGAAGTGTCAGGCTCAAAGAGGCTTCTCAGGCAGGAGTCATCCTATCCCAACAAATCCAAGAAATCGCTAAGACGACTCTTAACAGTTCTAAAGTTTCACTTGAGCAAATTCTTAGGGATCTGGCTGACTATCCCAGTGCTCTTTGAAATACAAACCAATTCAGATGAAAATCTCTTCTTAAGTGCAGGGTGCTTGGGGCAGAGTGTAAGTCTCACACCTCCCGCTTCTGCAGTAGTGATGAAGATTAAACAAACAATATGAGCCTTCAGAAAAAAAAAAAAAAAAAAAAAAGTACCAAACACCAGATGGGGAGAGCACAGCTCAAGGCTAATGTTTATAATTTCTATTTGGAACCATTTCCAAATCTTCCTGGGGGGGAGGGGGAGGGGGAGGGGGAAAGGAATGCTGAGCTCTTTGAAAAATACACTGGGAAGCTTCTACTTATCCAAACAACTGAAATGGCTTGCAAGTGTCAGAAACAGAGAGCACTTTAGCAAGACATGCCCAAGATCCCAAAGGACCAGCACTGCATTTTCAGAAGACAGAACTCTCATTGCTGGCTTCTTCGTCCTCGCAAAATGGAACAAAAGAAAACAACAAACTGGTAAACAAAATGAGTAATACTGGTACTGAATCCCAGCTATGATAATGAGAAAAGAGCAAGTGTTGCCAAATTAAAGAATGAAATGAAATAAATCTGTGTCAGCCAAGCCACGCCTGAGCAGCAGATGGGCCGTGCTGGAGCTCATATGCCAGTACTGGCAACAGCAGCCGTGCTCACTACACAATGTAAAAAGCTGGAGAATTCAAAACCCATTTGCACATGATGGTAATTGGCAAATTCAACCCCAACATAAACCACGTTTTGCCTACAAATTCTGAAAGGCAGGGGTCTTTTTTAGTGCCGTGTAGAGTGTGGAGAGGCATTTTTATAACATTTATTGTTTTTTTCTAATTATAAAAGTCATCCAGACTTAGTGTAGAAAATTTGAAAAATACAGACAAGTTTTAAAAAGAAAACATAAATTACCTAGAATCCCACCACTGATAGTAATTTGTGGTATTATTTCCAGCCTTTTTATCATCTATAAACATATATTTTTCTCTTTTTCTTTTTTCATAAAGAAGGATCATACTGTGTATAAAATGTTGTGCCCTAATTTTTTTCATTCAACATACCAGAAGCATTTCTCCATGTCATTAGGCATTTTAAAGTTGGCTGCAAAATACGCCATCACACAGCTACGTAACTGACATGATTTACCACGCCTCTTCTGTACATCATTTAGATTCTTTCCAACTTTCCTTTATTAAAAGTAACATAGCAGTTAAGATCCCTGAATATAAATCCATGTCCACTTCCCTATTTCTTTAAGATATACTTCTAGAAATATGAAAACTAGACCAAAGGGAATGAACATTTTAAAAGCTTTTTTTTATACTCTGCCAAATTACTTTCCAGAAGAATGGTAAAAATTTTTAGTCCTACCAGTGATGTAAAAAACTGTCCATCTTATAACATCCTCACCTTCACTGACAGTAGGATGTTAAGAATCTTGTCAATACAGTCTTAATTCCCAGGCTTAACTTACTGTAGATGGAATGTTAGGTAAAATGGAGCTCAGCTACCCAAGGCCCTCACAGCCTGAAAAGGGCAGGGGCTGGGGAAGCTTACTTGCTACTAAGCTCCCAGCCACTGAAAGCTTAAGAGAAGTCCATTTTCTGGCATGTTCTTGCCTTCTCCCCACACCAAGAACAATGCTTACCTTTGGACTTGCACGGCTATCTGCTTTGTTTTAAAAGGGGGAGGCTTGCTGAGGAAAATCATATAGTGACTCTCACAATTGGTGAGGTAGCCCATATCAGCCAACATTACTGGTTACTCAAGAACTTCATTAAAAATACGAGCAAGCAACAGGGGGCTGGCCTGGTGGTGTAGTGTTTAAGTTTGTGCGCTCTGCTTCAGTGGCCTGGGGTTCATGGGTTCGGATCCCAGGCATGGACCTACACACCACTCATCAAGCCATGCTGTGGCAGTGTTCCCACATACAAAGTAGAGGAAGACTGGCATAGATGTTAGCTCAGCAACAATCTTCCTCAAGCAAAAAGAGGAAGATTGGCAACAGATGTTAGCTCAGGGCCAATCCTCCTCAGCAAAAAAAAAAAAAAGAGCAAGCAACAAAAACTCACTGGTCTTATGAGGAAATCAGCAGCTCAAACAGGGGAACCAAAGTAAGCAAACTATGTAAAGAGCCCCTAAAAAAGTTAATGCAGGAAATAGGAGTTAATGGTAGTCAACTTAAAATTGATACTTCCAGTAACATTCAAAAGGATATTGCATTGATAAAACCAACCAAGCTTCAATATTTTTTCTAAAAAAGAAGCAAACAGGAAATAAGACAGAGCTATTAGAAACAGAAAGTCATAATTATAAAAAACATTTAAACTTAATAGAGGAAGAAAATAGCACATTGAAATCGACATGGCTGAAAACCAAATTAGTACATTACAAGTCCAGGTTGAGCCAGCCCTGATGGGCTAACGGTTCAAGTTCTGCATGCTCTGCTTCGGCAGCTGAGTTCAGTTCCTGGGCATGGAACCACACCACTTGTCTGTCAGTAGCCATGCTGTGGGGGCAGCTCACACAGAAGAACTAGAAAGACTTACAACTAGAATATACAACCATGTACTGGGGCTTTGAGGAGGAGGGGAAAAAAAAAGAGGAAGATTGGCAACAGATGTTAGCTCAGGGGGAATCTTTCCCAGCAAAAAAATAAAAAAGAAGTCCAAGTTGAGGAATTCTCCTAGGACAAAAATAAACATGACAAAGAAACAGAAATTATGAGAAAAAAGATAAGCTGCACGGAAGACTGATCCAGGATATCCAATCTCAGAATTACTAGAATTCTAGAATGAGAGAGCAGCATACGTTAAATGGAAGCAATAACCAAAGAAATTATAAAAGAAAATATCCTTTAGCTGAAGAAAGACTTGAGTCTTCAGATGGAAAAGACTCTCTAAATGCCAGGCAAAAATACTATGAAAAATCCACATATTCATATATACTCAGAAATATGCCAATGAACCTGCCCAAATTAAAAAGTTTAAGTATAAAAAGAATACAAATTTCCAGACAGAAAACAAACAAACTAGTTAACTAACTAAAAACAGGTTGTCTACTGAGAAAAAGAATCAGACTGGGATAAGATTTCTCATTTTCAAGATCAAATGAAAGTAGAGGATGAAGCAATGTATTCAGATTTATAAGGGAAAATGGCATGATCACATAATTTTATACCAGCCAAACAATAATTTGTATAAAAGTGAAAAATGATCTTGTAGATGTCCAAATACAGAAAGTACCCCACTCTATATGGGGGCAGTGGGGTACTTAAGGAAATATTCTGACAAATAACAAAAATTAATCAAAGATTTAAATTCAAGAAAGAAGATACTATATATAAGAAAATGGTGAACAATGACTCAGTAAGAATTATCAATGTAAAATAATTATTGATAATGTGATTAGAAATTTAATGCCATTGCTAAGAAATACTTAAAACAGAAAAGGCTAACATGATGTAATCTATGCAGAAATAGAAGTACAATGATGTACACCTGAAATTTTTACAATGTTATAAACCAATGTTACTGCAATAAACAAAAATTAAAAAAAAAAAAAAGTTAACACTTGTAGATGAAATTCCACATAATTTCAACAACACCTCAAGAGGCAGGTAGCAAATAAATGTGATAAAGATTTTACCTTATTTGGGAACAAGGTTATATAATGAAGATTCGCAATTTGGAGGCAAAAGGAATTCCAATTTTCATTTCCTTGATTACTAGTGAGACTGAAATACTTTTTCATGTTTTGTAGCCAGTCGCATTTTTTTTTCTTTTGTGCACTGCTTATATAGGAGGATATCAGTGTTTTCTAAATTAGTTACAGAACTTTTTATATATTAAAGATATTAACTTCTTTCCAGTCATATTTGTTACAAATATTTTTCCAGTTTAGTGGTGGCTTTTAAACTTTGCGGTATTCTCTGATCTACAGAAGGTAAAAGTTTTATGTATTCAAGTTACACTATCCTTCCCCTTTCAATTTCTTACACTGCTTTTAAAAAAACTCATCTTTTTATTTTGAGATAATTGTAGATTCACATGTAGTTATAAAAAATAATACAGAAATCCCATGTACCTTTTACCTAGTTTCTCCCAGTGGTAACATCTTGCAAAACTATACTACAATATCACAACCAGGATATTAATACTGATAGAGTCAATATGGATAGAACATTTCTATCACCACAGGATCCCTTATGTTGCCCTTTTATGCCCACACCTACTCCCTCCTGCCCCCATTTAACCCTTAACCTCTGGCAACTACTAATCTGTTCTTGATTTCTATCATTTTGCCATTTCAAGAATGTTATATAAATAACATGTATCCTTTTGGGATTAGCTTTTTTCCTTACTCAGCATAATTATCTGGAAATTCATCTAAGTCATTGCATGTATCAATAGTCTGTTCCTTTTCATTGCTGAGTAGTATCCCACAGTATCGATGGACCACAGTCTGTTTACCCATTCACCTGCTGAAGGATGTTTGTTGCAGTTTCGGGCTACTACAAGTCTAAGAACTCTTTGTCTAACTGTAGATCTTAAAGATTTTCTAAAAGGTTTATAGCTGTACAATTTAAATTTATGTCCATGATCTATTTTTAGTTAATTTTTGTACAACATATAGAACTTAGGTTGAGGTTTATTTTATTTTTTTGCTATGGATATCCAATTGCTCCAGCACCACGTGTTTAAAAAGGCTATCTTTCCTCTATTGAATTGCTTTTGTACCTTTGTCAAAAATCAGTTGTGCATATCTATATGGGTCTATTTATGGGTTCTCTATTCTGTTCCTTTGATCTATGTGTCTATTCCTGTACC